AAGTTCATTCTCTAGGTGTGACGCCCAGCCAGTGCTAAAGTTCATTCTCTAGGTGTGACGCCCAGCCAGTGCTTAAGTTCATTCTCTAGGTGTGACGCCCAGCCAGTGCTAAAGTTCATGCTCTAGGTGTGATGCCCAGCCAGTGCTTAAGTTCATTCTCTAGGTGTGACGCCCAGCCAGTGCTAAAGTTCATTCTCTAGGTGTGACGCCCAGTGCTAAAGTTCATTCTCTAGGTGTGAATTGCTGTTCCTATGTGGACTTTATCTTTTCCAGGTAATTGCTGCCGAAGGAGAACAAAAAGCTTCGAGAGCTTTGAAGGAAGCTGCTGATGTCATCATGGAGTCCCCGGCGGCTATTCAACTCCGATACCTTCAAACCCTTAACACTATTTCTGCGGAGAAAAATTCCACAATCATTTTCCCTCTGCCGATTGACTTGTTGCAGTCCTTCATAGGTCGGCAAGGATCGAACCATTGATACAGTTCAAGCAAAAAGGCCGCCATCTTGGATAATCATTGTTTGCATAAGTGAGATTGTGTTGATGAATGTAAGTGGTATAGACATGAGAAAGGAGCCTTTAAATTGTACCAATAAACGGTACGGATTGATCACTGAGTAGGAATACTTAATTACACCTAGTATACCAGAGTATCTTCTATATAACCAAGGTAACCCAAACCCATTACGTATCCAAGGTAACTTGTGTCTACTTATGTAACATAGGTAACATTTACCTACTTATATAGCCAAGGTTACTTATACCTACTTATGTAAACCAGAAAAGTATTGTGAAATTTCATATAAGAATCAGTTTGAATCAATGCTTGTTAGCATTTACATGTATAAGTCAAAAAGTAAAACACATTTTCTTTCAATTTTTATGAATTTAAAAGTGTTTATTTAGATGTGTGTATATATATATATATATAGTGGGGTATTTCGGATAATGCCACATTTTTTTACACTTATCTCTTTCTCATTTTATGAGAAATGAGCTTTTCGCTTACTTTATTTGAAGAAAATGAAATAACATGAAGTTTACATTAAAGATATGTGAAGAGGAAGCAAATAGTGTAATAAGTAAATAACACAGGAAGTAGTATTACATGAGAGTACATGTACTCACACAGTAGTAGTATTAGATGAGGGTACATGTACTCCATCAGGTCTGATTTATATGCCAGGAATTGTGTTCTGTAGTAAATGTACCCAGGAGAAATCTTACCATGTTGATTATTAATATCAGTTATACAGTACTAATTAAGATGTGGTCAGTCTGTAATATTGTACTAAGATGTGGTCAGTCTGTATTACAGTACTAAGATGTGGTCAGTCTATATAACTACATGTACTAAGATGTGGTCAGTCTGTATTACAGTACTAAGATGTGGTCAGTCAGTATTACTGTACTTAAAGATGTGGTCAGTTTGTATTACAGTACCAAGATGTGGTCAGTCTGTATTACTGTACTAAGATGTGGTCAGTCTGTATTACAGTACTAAGATGTGGTCAGTCAGTATTACAGTACTAAGATGTGGTCAGCCTGTATAACAGTACTTAGATGTGGTCCGTTTGAATTAGCTATCACACTTTAGCATACAATTATATCTTCTTCATAATCATGTACCAGTAGATTTTTCTATAAAATCATTAACATTTTGTAATTTTTGATGTCATCAATTTCATTGATGTTTAAACTTGTTATGACTATTATACCCATTTTTCTAATGTTTAAGTGATCAGAGTAGATGTATTTATTCAGACTTTCTGGTAGCATTATATTGTCTGTGGGGATTTGTAACTGGCCTCAGTAGGAAGTGTGATAGTGTGTCACCTTACCCCAGTAAACATCGATGATGTGTATCAATTTACTTGTATTTGCTTACATTAGATTGATAACCAAACCTTGTATGATTTTATATTTAATCAGGTAAATTGACTTCCTTGAATGAAGGAAGGATGTTATAAAATATTTCAGAAGATCAGTTTCCTGGTAAACTAGTTGGCTATATATAGCTAAGTAACCATGTGATGTAATACCAGGAGAACTACCTTGTACCTCCGTGAACATTTAGAATGTATCAATGGACACTGCTACAAGATCATTTCAACAATGTTATGATGTTTTTGTTCAGTACAATAATGTTATGATGTTTTTGTTCAGTATAAGATTTCTATAACCTCCTTAAAACTGACAGTGCAAGTTGCTAAATACTGATGTCGAGACATTCCCTTTACAACAGGAATCTTGTCATCAGACATTTTGGTTGTGATTTGTGAGGTGACTGATGATCATGTGGCTATAAAAAACACTACAGATAAGTGGGCAGTACACATCTCCCCCTTATAAGTGTGACTACTGTACACTACCAATAGCTAACATGTACACGTCCAAATAAAATATACCCATCCTGTTATTTATGAAAAAAGCTTTTTGCATTCATAGCACAAGATGAGCGTGCAATCTTTGGTACAATATTTACAGTGGTCGTTAACACTCTCAGCTTCACCATTGATAACTAACCAGGAAATCACAGATGACTGCCGACTTTGAACAGTTTTCACAAACTTATGCTGTTTTTTAGTTGAAGGGACTTAACTCCAATCTCATGCAACATTGATAATGTTACTATAGGTATTTCATAATGTTCCTGTCAGGTATTTTGTAAGATTGATGTAACTCTAGTGTACAGTAGACTGCAGTGTAACCTGTTCTAACTAGAAAACTGTTTATGTAATGTCTGCTATAACTGAGAGTTGACAACCAGATACTCGTCATGGTTGACCATCCTGATATGTACAGTGCCTTGGACTAGAGCTACTATGTGTTCTTGTAATATTCCTCTTCATCCTATTGTCTCGTTAAGTTATTGATGCTAACTTTAAACAATGAATGTCAGAAAGTCATGAAAGTCTCTGAGGACAACCATTAACTGGAAAAATACAGAACATTTTTTTTCAAATGTTAAATTCGGTCTACAAATGTCCAGGTTTTACATGTATTGTTTCATGCTATGAGGTTGAGCCGATGAATGAACTGAAAATACAACATGTTTGAAAGTAATCTGAATCGAACAATTATTAGCTCACCTGCCCGAAGGGCAAGTGAGCTTATGCCATGGTGCAGCGTCCGGCGTCCGTCCGGCGTCCGTCTGTCCGGCCTCAACTTTTTAGGTCACCTGAGACAAAGTCTCAAGTGACCTATTGCGATCGCCTTTTGTCCGTCGTCGTCCGTCGTCCGTCGTGCGTCCGTAAACAATTTACATTTTTGACTTCTTCTCCAAAACCCCTGAACCAATTTCAATGAAATTTTGCAGGGACCTTCCATGGACAAAGGTCAACAAAAATAGTTGCCGGTTTAGTCCTAAGCCCCCAGGGGCCTGAGGGGCGGGGCCAAAAAGGGT